TGTACCTGCATGTTGTCATAGAAAATTGGCCATAAATATGAATTATATTTTTCGACTTTTTTCCAACTTTTCATTGCTTTGGCCCCACTGTGCGTTCGGCGGCTCCCAGGTCTGCTATATATGCACGACAACACATCGGGCGTGTTGTACAGACCTTTGTGGAAGAGCACCGTATACGAATGCTTCCATGGCTAGCTCCGTTTCCGCATCTGAATCCGATCGAACATATTTGGGACATGACTGGTCGGAGACTTCTACGTTATCCGGCTTTCTCGGCTAACGTTGAGGAGCTATGGAGGCGAGTTGAGGTGGCATGGTTGGCATTCCCTCTCATTACAATACAGCGACTTATAGACTCCATGCCACGTCGTGTTGCGATAGTACGCGAAGCTCACGGGGGATACTCTCGCTATTGATGTTTCTCCTCCCAGCAGAGTTGTGCCGCTCTCCATGTGAGAGTAAGTTACACTACTTTAGTACTACTTCCATACCAAATTTTATTGCGCTAGACACACGCATTCAGATTATACAGGGTGTGCTCGTGAATTATTTCTAACAGTGTAGTTTCACGAAAAATCGCGGATTAGCAAGATGCGGTTATTTCGAAAACGACCTGGCGAATTTCAACGCGGTTTTTACCAAAATATGTCAAATAATGTCAGTTGTCGGATTCCGTTATCAGTTTTTCAAAATTAGCGCTCGCTAATTTTTTAAGAGCGATTTAAGAAAGATTTAATGGAATTACAAATTAAAGAGAAACAGTAATAAGCTCTGCGGGGAGAGGGTTCCGTCCAATCAGAACAGATGGTGTGTCCTAGACAGTACGTTGCGCCTTTATCTTACCTACATAAAGAAAGAAGGCGCGACGTTTTGTCTGGGACGCACCATCTGTTCCGATTGGATGGAACCCTCAACCCCCGTCACCCCGCAGACCCTTTTACTTCACAGACCCTTAGTCACCTTGAAATTTGCTAAATATTAGTGAAAAGCGCATCTCGATATCACCATCCGTTCTCGAATTATAGAAAAAAATGTTAAAAACTCGAGTGCCATCAATCGGATCCAGTTGCCTCATCGTGAAAAACAAATCACAACCATGGTAACTGTCAACTAACTGTAAACATGTCATTTACTAACACAGAAGCGTGTGGTAGAGCGTATGATGATTTATTTTCAATGTTTCGAATATGATGCAACTGCATGGCAAAAATATGCAAAGCAATTACGACACTTTAAAGACACATATGTCTAGAAGTGTTTTTAAGATTGACTTATCGATTACGGGAAACTGGCAACGTGTAGCCCACATCTCTATGAATTCGTAAATCACATTGGTGCGCAATGCGATCCCACATAATCTGGGAACCCCGAAAACAATTGTCCATAAGATTCCTTAAGAGCATAATATCTCCACTACATTGTTTTACATCAGGCCTTAACACATACCGATTATGATATCAGACTGAACTATTATTACTGACTTTAGTTTTGACGTTTCTTTTCCGTCAAAACTAAATGAAATAAATGCATCGAGGTTTATGGAAGACATTTCGAACATTTGTGAGCTATTTTTGCCAAATATTTAACTTATTCTAAGTGTTTTGGTTTATTTTGTTTTATTATCATTGTTGATGTTTCATTGATCCGTTGGCTTTTAAACACGCCACAACAGTAGGTTTGAACCAGTTCTAAAGGGGCCTATCCACGGTCATGCATGCATGACAAGCATCGCAAGCTGTCATGCAAGATTGACAGTGGATGGGGTTGTATGAGACGCTTTCCTCGGCATGACAGCCAGGCATGACACAATTCAAACCGTTTTGATTTTCTGTGGGCGGGGCATCAGGCTTGCAAGCAAGCGTGCACGTGGATGGCTATGCTGTTATGCATTTTGTCATTCCATCTGTAACCTTTGTGAGGTAAACATTACTTTCAACATGGCTTGTGGAAGCGCGAAGTCCTTTTGGATGGAATTTTTTGAAATATTTAGAGATCATAAGGAACTGTGGAAGGTTAAAAGCGAAAAATACAAGGATAAAAACGAACGGTTGAAGGGATATGATATTTTATTAAAAAAATATCAGGAAAAAGATGAAAATGCAACTATAGACACTTTAAAGAAAAAAATAAATACCATCCGAACCAACTATCGACGTGTGTTAAAAAAGGTGAAGATGAGCGAAAAATCAGGGGCCGCATCGAAAGATATTTACACTCCGTCTTTATGGTATTTTGATCAACTACACTATCTTAGGGATCAAGAAACACCGGATGTTGGCATATCAACATTGAAGAAGGAGAAGATGTAAGTAAATAAACACAAACCTTTAATGATTAAAAACTTTATTTTATAAATCCCAAATACAAGTGCTAATTATATTATTATACTGTTTGTTGAAATGGAACTGCACCAACGGTATTAAAATATGTACGAAATTTATCTCTTACTTCTTTTGCAAAAAGTGTTGAATTTCGCGCATTTGTGTTGTTATTTATGGGTAGTAACTCCTCCCCAGAATGAGTGTTCTCATTACGTATATTTCCTTCCCTATATGTTTGCCCCCGGTTCTTACTCAGATAATTATGTAAGTAACAACAAGCCAGAACAATGGTAGCACTTTTTTCGGGGGATAAATTTATCGTAGTTAATAAAACTCGAAATCTTGAAGCCAAAATTCCGAAAACATTCTCGACAATCCGTCGAGCTCTGGAAAACCTGAAATTACAAATGTCCTCTTCCAATGTTAAAGCCCTTCGGCTATATGGCTTCATTATAATATGTTCTTTTAAAGGAAAAGCGTCATCTGCTATAAATACGTATGGCACCTTTTCTGGAAAATTTGGTAGTTTATTGGATCTGGGAGTTTTACTCTGTTTTCTTCAAGTCTTTCATAAAAATTTGTTGCGGTAAAGACTCCACCATCTGAAATTCTACCATTTGATCCAATATCCGCCATTATAATTTCGTAGTTTGCATCAGCTATCAACATCAGCACTATGCTGTGAGTCTTTTTGTAGTTAAAATAGTGGCTACCTGAATTTCCTGGTTTTTTAATCGCTACATGTTTACCATCTATTGCACCTAAGCAATTTGGGAAATTCCATCGGCTATTAAAATTTGATGCGATTTCTTTCCAGGCCTCTTCATTTCTTGGCATCTAGAAATTGCAAAGTATATTTAAATTTACTTTTAAAATTGTATCTTTTGGCATATGAACGTAATTTTTAAATGATATTTTTAGGCACCAGAAGATTCATTGGAAGCCGAATCAACACAAGTAACTCCATCACGTCCAAAGAAACAAAAGTTGTCTAATGAAAGAAATGAATTTCTAAAAAAGGCGGTTAAACATTTAGATACAGTAAATGATGAGGCAGAAATGCTCGGTAAAGTTTGGGCGTCGCAATATAGAAAACTTTCCGTTGAGCAGCAACTGTATGCCAAGAAGCATATTGATGACATTCTGTATCATGGTCGCCTTTCAAAACTAGGTCCTTCGCCTACCCCATCAATCACACCATTGCCTTTCCTGAGCCCATCATCGTACGACTCAAGTTCAACCACTACGTCGTATATGTATGAACCAATGCAGATACCATGTTATACAGATATATCGTCTTTATTAAGCAATACTCAATATCATTAAGATGTTATAATGAATAAACGATAATAATTTTAACGATAATAATTGTTTACGTACCTGTATATATTCCTTCAATGTACTAATAATCGCTTCGCATGTTTCAATTACAATTTTTCCTATTGTTTGCGGAGCTATCGCTGTCAAAAATTTTAAATCTTCATAAGTTGCACCACTGGCCAAATATCTTAGAGTGGTAGAAAGTCGAAGTTGTGGTGAAATAGAATCTCTCATCTGTGTATTTTGTTTTTCAATGAAAGGCTTAACCTTGAACAGCAAATCGTGAAATAATTCAAGATCCATTCTTAAGAAATTGTTATAATCTTCTATCGAAGAAACTTCTAATTCTTTTAAAAGTTTGATATGCGAAAATTTTTTACGTTGTAGAAACCAACGCTTCGGCCAATACCTATGTCGTCTCTTTTTACGGCTTAACTCGTCGATTATTATTAAAGCGCAAGCTATATCACTCATTATAGATGTACCGATAATCAGTACTTACCACCTTCGAGGATACGGATTAAATAAATGAATGACAAGCTTGCATGATAGTGTATGGAGAAAGTAAGAAACGGCATGAACAGCATGCATGACAAGCATGCTTGACCGTGGATAGGTCCCTTAAGCTTGGGTAAAGTGTGAGTGTGTCTCCCTTATTTGTTTGCTAAGGAAACTTGATTCGATTAAGATAACGAATTTTTAACATTTTCTTCTATAATTCGAGAATGGATGGAGATATCGAGATGCGGTTTTCACTAATATTTAGTAAATTTTATGGTGATTAAGGGTCTGTGAAGTAAAGAGTACCGTTCCATTTAACTATTTTTCAAAAATCACAAAAATATGTAATCGCTGCAGATAACGCCCTCTAGCTTATTTGTTTTAAACCAAGAGGTCTTACTGAAAATATTTTTTAAAAGAGCATAAAATGCTCTTTCAAACAAGATCAAAAATATTCAAATCGGATAAATGGCCCAGGAGATATTAAAATGTAAACATTTGAAAACGCACTGGTCTCTCCCTTCTTTATTATAACAGATATGAGAATTATCGCAAAACAAAAGCGATGCGGTATTATCCAAGCTACTAAGTGATGTCAAAGTTATAGCTCATTGTCTAACTTTCTGAGATAACGGGAATTTTATGTTTCTCTATGGCAATTACGCCCAGTTACTTCAAAATAATTTCCAGCAATTTCTCTTATCCACTTTGCTATAAGGATTTTTTTCCCAAACCTCTAGGCCTTACCGTTGTTGAGATACAGCCCCTCCGTACCCTTAACATAAAAAAAATTATCACCCCAATATACAGGTGTCCCCTGTATATTGGGGTGATAATTTTTTTTGTAATATTTCTACGTAGCAATTTTATAAAATGATTGTTGTAATATTTCTGTGTATGTAATTATGCTAGCAATAAAAAACATGGAAATCATAATTTTCTCTATCAATTTTACTACAACAACCTTTTTCATTGCGGTGAAACTGTTGAAGATTTTAATCAAATTGAAAATAATATCAAATTGTGACAAGAAAATGCATATTTTATTTTAGAATTTATACATTAAATTTTATTATTATTATACATTTATATAAGTACGAAGGCTTTCACGTTATACATATTCATTTATACATTTATTAACGCTAATCGTTGGTGGCAACGTTTTTTTCATCGTTGTTGCTGCATTTGCTGTATTCGTCTTCCCAATCGCTGTCCGAGTGTCTTTGTCTGAATCGATCTTTACGAGTCCATCGACCGGAATACTTTTCGGTAACAGTTATACCGTTGTTGAAAGACTTTTGCCGAATCTTTACAATGTTACCGTCGAGCAATTCGATGGCGTCAGTTTTGACTAGGTCGTCGTTTTCAAATTGAACGTACGAATACAACATGTGGTAGACTTCAATAACGTCGTAGAGGTTTTGACATGCGGCAAAATAATATTCGAACGGTTCAAGATCAACATTAACATATGCGATATGTTCCAAATCGTAATAGACATCAGGATTTATCGGTTCAACAGGCAATACGTTTACGGGTAACTTTTCCGCAACAATTTTCAATTTGTCCTCGGGTCGAGAATAGACCACGTTCTCGTCGACGTAGAGATCTTTGGTGCATACTTTTTCGTTGTTCGTATCGGACGGGCACTTGCACAAGCATAGTTCGTATTGGTAACGATTTAATTTCTTTGGATGCACGTCGACGTACATTAACGACACCATCATTCGAAGCGTTTGTCTATCGACATCTTTCAACGTTTTAATCTTTTCGTCAACTTTGAAGTAATAGTACAAACCGTCACAAGCATAGCTTAGACTGTCGCACGTTGTCAACTTATAGTCGACTGTGACCGGGACATTGTTGAGTGTTTTGAAAAATAGAATGCATTCTTCCAGCTTTGTTTCGTCTTCAATTGGTTTCCCGAGAATTGATTCGAAACGATGCCGGTTCACTTGATTGAATCGCCACGAGACGTTTTGCTTCAATTCCGGATGCTTGATACTTTGCAACATCAAGTAACAGTTTAGATCGAAATCTTTTTGAATCTTGTCGTTGAATTGAATCTGTGGTTGTTTGTTGATGGGAAAGACAATTTCCGTTTTGATGAATTCACGAAATCCTTCGCCTTCAACGCGATGCTTGACCCAATGCGGTAAAACGTACATCGTATTTTCCGTCAATGGAACGATAACCTCTTCGTTTTCGCCCAGATACATAAAATTAGCGTTTGGAAGTTCAACGTTCATGTAAATGAGCAGCGTGTATAGGGAACATGCCGATTTCTGATGATCTACAAACATTGTATCGTAATGAGCGTCAAATTTACCACCTCGATAGTATCGATTCCATTTGAAAACATCGTTCAAGTAAAACGTTTGTTTATCGAATAGATCGGCAAGACGCGATTCTAGAGCCGTTTTCAATTTGGCATTAACAAACATCAGTACTTTACCATCGCGTTCGTTGTCGTTGTTTGGCGTTTTGAAAATGTATACTCGTTCGTCGCTGTTGGTCTTTACTTTGTAATGGCATTGATGGTAGAGAGGTTCATTGAAATCTGTTTTGCCACGATCATTATCGTACGTGTAACGGTGCTCTTCAGGTTCCCCAGATGCGTCTTCATCTGCATTGTTATCATCGCCAAAATTTAAATCTCCGGGCTCGTACGCGTTAAACGGATAATGTTTGAAACGGTTGGGGCCCCTAGATCCGTAGAATAGAGTCGAATAGATGTCGTCGTTGCTTAGCTTTACGATAATTTCGGAACAATCATAACCGACGGGACTCTGTTCGCGACCAAACATAATCTCGTATCCGTAGTAGATTAACGGTAGGTGAACTTGGTTCCGAAAGAGATCGGGTCTGAATTTGTTACCTCTATCCCGTAGAGGCAACAAATTCGGGGCAGGTTGTGCGTCGTCGTTTTCGCTTCCCATGTCGAGAGTGAAACAATTGATCATGTCGCAAAAGATATCACCGTCGCCTTCGTCGTCGGATTCAAAGCTGTCGTTCAACGCTTGCTGATTATCGCAGTAGACTGGGTAACGGTATTCGGATGTAGGATAGAGCGAAAGGTCTAGCGAATGCTTGGAATGATTTGGATACGTTGTATTCTTGAGACTGTATTGGGTAACGGGATCGTCGGGCGACACCAAATACACCAAACGCAACAACGTGTATACCTCGTCTTTTTCAATCGGTTTGGCTTCATCTGGGGAATCGTAGATTGATTTCAAAACAGAATACGCTTGATCGTAGGCTTGTTTCGAAAATGGATGCATGTTTAGGCACTAGTAAAAAACTAAACAACACTTGTTACGGTTTGACTTTTTGGGGTTATGTGTTTAATGTTATGTAATTAATGTTTTGTTTCTGTATAGGATAGATGTTTTGTTTTGTTTACAGGTATTTTAAGTTGCATGAATACGCGTTATTTTATTTTCTTTGAGGGGGCGTTTAAAAGGCCATTTTTGTATGTGTCGGTAGAGGTTAGTTTTTACCCAAAATACAACTTAATGGCAAATTATTATGGAAAAGTGAATACACAGAATTGAAGTACACACATTTTTCTACACATTGAAGTGTTCCGCGTTGTAAAATTGCTGTATTTGTAACATAAAAAAAATCCTAAAGTTTGTCATAAATAACACTTGATGTAAAGCTACTTTTACGAGAAATTAAACATTAAATTGAGACGCCAACGCTTCAAAGATACTAGTAGAATGTAGGAAGAGGTTACGTGTAATTAGACGTAAAATTGAATTGTTATTATCTCGAAATTTGGGTAAAACGAAAAATGTGCGATTTCATCAAAATATTGGGAATTCGTAAAGAAATCTGTATAAATCAGTAAAACTAAGCTTTGCCATCCGCCTCATAGATGGCGCTAATTATAAAAAAAAATTTTCAATGTAATTTAGTAAGTGGTTTACGGATATTATGCGTATATTAATTGTATCGATGTTTAAAAAACAATATTAATCCAACATAAAAGGCGAAAGATAGTAACATAAATAAGCTATATTATCCAACAGCGGATAGAATTAATTAGTGTTATAGAAAAAAAGAATATAAAAAAAATAACATTAAACAATGGGTGTTAATTAAATGTTTTCTTTTCAATTTTCCGTCAGTAACAGTTGACAGCATAATATGTTCTTGTAGGCTATAAAAAAGCAGCAATAGTGGTCAGCAATTAAATCAAGGGTTATTAGAAAATATCTATGCAATTGTTATTTGCTCAACAGGATTATACAAACAGTTAACATAAAAATAATATTTGTAAGCTACAATCTCAAAAGGTCTGCATTTTAAAATTATGGTCAGTGAATAATTTAAAATGTGCACAACTTTATTGAAAAAGCGATAACGATCGAGTAAAATGGGCGGAGTTTCATAACAGAAGCGGGTAATTGTATTAATTTTGTACTTAATTTTACACCTGGCCAAAATTTGATAAAATCCGAATCACGATTTCTGTTCTATTACTAATATTGCTGCAGATATATTTAATGAAGTTAATAGTAAGCTGTTTAAAAATAGTAAAAATTCAAAGAAATTAATTAAAAAAAAATTTTAAAATTGATTAAGTGGAATCGATCATGATTACCACAATTTTTCTCCACATAGATTGCCCCATATACACTAAAAAGGAAAATTATTTTTTAAACAGAATTATGTGTTGGTTCTATAATTTCTGGAAGCATGACATCCATATAAAACACTTCAATTTTGGCAACATAACGTTTTTCCATAATTCTGCATCTCTTCCAATTATTTCAACAAATAGTAGTCCCTTGTCATTAATATA